ATATATATATATTAATATGGTTCTTACAGGATCATCCAATTAAACAGAAAATTACAGCCCAGTATGTCGCTATTACAGCCTGGTATGTCGCATGACCAATGTTGGTGTATAATTTTGCAAAATTAGCTAATCTTGAATCCCCATCTCCTTTGGGGTTCAGTTTCACGAATATTCAAGTTCAGTTTGCAAATTTGATAATGTTTCGTTTGTTAAAAATTATCCATTCGGTTAAAAACAGGCAATCTTTACTAGAAACGAAATTACGATGGCATGAACAGTAGCTAAACCCTTTCAAGTACTTTACATGGCATGGATGATGTCATAAAGTGGGCACAGTTGCATTGAAGTTCAATTTGTTTTCTTAATTTGCAAGACTTATTCTTATGAAAGTGAATGGTAGAACTAGGTTTGATAGTTTCCATTCTTTCTACTAATCAATTTTTATCAAGTCCTTCGTGAGCAAAAGTTGCTGATGCTCAAAATTTTCAGCCCATATCTATTGAACAAAAAGTAAAATACCATACAGATCCTTTGACGTGATGGCAAGCTTTGGAGATTGAGAAGCTTTTGGCAACCTAACTATGAAATTCAATACGGAAGAGTTTCCAGAACCAAGGGAATTACACCAAAATAAGAAAGAAAATTTAGAGATGAATAAAAAAAGAGAGTTTTGTCCAAAACTGCATGCCTCTATAGATTACAAAAATAAAAGCATTTTCATAAGGACGAAAAACAACAAAGTACAAAAAGAAAATTGCGCAAAGAATTTGTAGTTTAATTTGCAGATGTATGATATGGGCAAATCTAACATGTGCTTGATATGCACATCATGTCTGGTAAATTTACACATGCAAGCCTCGAATAATAAGCAAATTAGGCTTGATACTTCCACACAATATTGTCTTGATAAGTCACGAATCTTGAAGCATATTGTGTATGGGAGGTCCAAATATTTAATTAAGAATTCTCCCTACACTCCAATTTGAATGAAGGGCCTTGCTGAAATGAATCAAATGACAAAAAAAATGATTCAATTTGAGTCCAAATGAGCTCAGATGATGCACTTAAAGCATATTAAGAAGTTTTGTGACATAATCAAATGATCTACAAATTTGACAAACTTATAGTCAAATCGCATATCTCGACAAAACGAATCCAACGAACTCAATATCACTTAATTCCGACATTTTAAGGCGGTTAAACGCTCAAAAAATATCATTCGATTAAGGGAATTATTTTGGGTCATCCAATGGAGTTGATCGGACTCGAGCAGTATTTACGAAGTATGTCACTCACAAAAACTACAAATAGACCGCTACTCTCTTCATGAAGAGACCTAGACCTGGATGAAAAAACTAAATAGAGCTTCAAACTATTAAGGATTCCCGAGTTCCACCACCGTCGAACTACAGCTACCATCGCCCTACCACCATCATCATTGAAGCATCCTCACCTGGTCACTACCTCCATCACCGAGCCGCCATCGCCTGACTAATGTCGTCATCGAGTCATCGTTACCAGGCTGTTGTCGCTATTATCGGGCCACCATTGTCTAGCTGCCATCGCTCGGCTACCACGATTTTAAGACCATTGTCGTCCAAACGCTACCTAATTGTTATCGCCGTCGCCAGACCACCGTCCTCCGACCGCCTCCATTGATTACTACCATCTACCGACCGTCCTTGTCACTATCATCGGACGACAGTCACCAGCGCCAGACCACCATCATTTAGCCATTGTCATCCCTTTATCGGACCACCATCGCCATTATCTAACCATCATAATTGTTGTAGGACCACCGCATCAAACCAATGTTACCCAACTACTGTTACCACTAGCAATGTTGGCATCGAATCTCCATCACACGGCCCCTATCATCAATTTTCCAACGCAATAGTTGAATCGCTACCACTTCCTAATATTTTCTACCACTGATCTAGTTAAAAACAAATAAAAAAACCCAACTTATGTAATATTCCTTCTAACTGTTCAACGGCGAGCAACGTCTTGTAATTTATATCAGCATAGTGGAATCATTTTAACTGGACTGGGCCAATTGGTTTTCCCTATTGATTTTTTCACGTAAAAATCTATGTTGTTTTCTCATTCAGTTTTTATTTTATCTGTGTATACGTCGGATTATCATACAACACTAAGATATTAATATAGCACTCTATTGTCATAAATTTACCATCATGCAACAAGTCTTATGGGTAAGGAGCTCAAATCAAATTTATTATAGTCTTATGTGTAAGGCGCGGATTGTTGGCCCATAAAAGAAAAGCATAAAACTAAGTTAATTGTTATTGAGATGAGAATTATTAGATGGATGAGTGGTTTTACACATTGAGACAAAATGCGAAACAAATATATCCGTGAAAGGGTTGGTGTAGCTCAGGTGGCAGACAAGATTAAAGAGAGTCGTCTTAGATGGTTTGGTCACCTTAAACGTCGACCACTTGATGATCCATTTATGAGAGTAGATATTTTAGATTCGATTTATGTAAATAAAGGTAGAGATAGGCTTGAAAAGACTTGGATGTTGTATAAAAAATGCTAGATGAAAATATGACAATCAACAGGACACAATGGAGAAAAAAGATTAATGCAGTCCATCCTACTTAGTGGGATAAACGCTTGTTGTTGTTGTTGTTGTTGTTGTTGTTGTATACATTTTTACCCGAGACACATGCCTTTTGTAATTTTTACAAGTTAAATGAACCGAACTGATCATATTTCCTTTATTACCTTTTTATCATATTAGGCTCTACATTTATTAATTAATTTGCATTCACTTTGCTTTGTTTAGTAATTCTGCTTTAGTTGTGGTCTCATGCTTAAGGACCGAATATGCATAGTGGTATTGCCAGAAGTGGGGAGATAATTTATTTTACAGTAAAAACTACCAAGTGGGTATTCCATTTTTTCTTGTGTTCTCTTGTTGCTTGGTATCTTCCTTTTTGCTTTTAAGCTCTCACGCCATAGTGGTATCAGAGTCAATTCGACTGGGAATGGCGGAAGAAAGCAAGCATTCAGCTATCGATGGAGATCGAAGCCTCGAAGCATTATGGACTACCCACTCCAACAACTTACAGAGGATCGATGATCTTACCACAGAGTTTGTTCGATTTTCTGCAGAAATGCAAAGTGAGCTGCAAGGATTAAGAGAGGAAATCAACTCTCATATAGCAACTAAACAAGTAGTATCTTCAACCACACTGATACCCATGTTAAGTCCCCTGGCTTTAAAGGAACAAGGACAGAAGAGGGCAGTGAACCCAGGAGATTCTAATTCGAACGATGAACTTGAGACGAGGCGGAAGATTGAGGTGTATGAATCTGAAGGTGATGAGTGGTATCGAACAAAAATTTCAAATTCTAGGAGATATGATGGCCACAACATAAATCATGGTGAATTTAGAGTTAAATTGGACATTCCGATTTATGATGGCCACATACATATAGAAGATTACCTCGAATAGGAGCAATCCGTTGAAACTTTTTTTGAATATATGGAGATCGAACCTGAGAAACATGTGAAGTATGTTGCGTGCAAATTAAATGGAAATGCGTCTGTGCGGTACAAGAGGTTATAGCAGATTCGAAAAAAGGAAGGAAACGAACCAGACCACAGTTGGTTCATAATGAAGCAATTTTTAAGGGCACATTTCTTGCATGCTAATTTCTAATACATGCTTTATGTGGAATACCAACATTGTTCATAAGGATCAAAATCAATAAGTGAATACACTGAAGCATTTTATAGATTGAGTGCTCGAAAAAATATCAATGAATCCAATAATCAATTAGTAGCTTGGTACATTGGTAAGGTGAAGGATGTAATCCAAGATTAATTGGAGCTTAATTCTGTTTAGTCCATCTCACAAGCAGTGAATCTAACTCGAAAAGCTGAGGTACAACCCAATCGGCGTAAGAGGGTGAGTGTGTCAAGGAAAAATTCATTTGAATATCCGGGCAATAACAATATGATGTCAATTATGCTACTAAACTGAGCTCCCTTCCATACCAATCAAACTTTGCCCTCAAGAACAACCCTACTATTGATACAAAAATTCAAGTTAAATCTAAAGCTTCAGTTGGAGAAAATTTGTATGCCAAAACCACAAATCTGAAATGTTTTAATGTTATATATGTAGAGGTTGATTGTGTCAAGGAAATCACATCCAACACCTGCACCGGGCGCCCATATTCCTAGGTGCAGCGCCTAGGAGCTGCAATTGGGGTGTCCCAGCGCTTGGAGGTTTC